ACATTTCAAACCGTCCTCACGGTTTTCTCTAACCCTTACCGAAAGCCATCGTATTTCTGCATAATTTTTAACCACGGTGTTTCTCTGTAATTTTCATATTGTGAAGCTATCGAATGCCAATGAAGTAATGGCCAAAACTCTCCATTGGATCGTTGCTTGCACGATGCGCTAGACTGAACAAGTGATTCAACGTGAGGTTACTAATATTAGTACTTCACACGAAGCGGTATCACGTTGTTCTTCCGGCCCCGTTGTTATGGTATCATTCAAACGCTACTTCGATGTCAGCGTGCCCCCTATCGGGATAAACGCAATCATGCATGCTCTAGTGCTTCATCACTAGAGTAGAGCCCAAAAATGCATCATAAGTCATAACAAATTACTCTTAAGATTTTTCCTTGTATTTCACGTGGTTTATAATTCAGTTGCGTTTTCTGAGACACAAACACGACATTAAGACTTTAACCTACGACGCATTTCATTGCGGGACATCCTTAAAAATCATCAGGTGAGTAACCAAATAGCGTATGTTACTTGTCTGATGCGGCTTGTACCGTAACATTACATGTCGTAATTTGTTTCTAAAGGAGCCGTCTAAACGTCAGTGCTGCATGGTATATGAAACTATAGGGGTGTATCCACTCCTGACAGGTCATTTGTAAAGGGCAAAATACTTTAGGCTGTAAATTTATGAAAGAAGCATCTATCTGCTGCAGTAACAGCCTGCTTCAATAGCCTGCTAGGCACGTAGGAACAAGCGATGAGATCATACGTGGTCAAATTCTGTTCGATGCAGTTATACTTTTATTAACGTACTCGTAAGGAATCCATTTATATTTTTCTTCTCTTTGGTTGTTTTTATTGAGCCGTTAATACTTTTGTGTTGAATTTGATTTAATGGAGTTTTGCTTGTTCACTAATCAGTTGTTGTACTGTTTTTCAGAGGACAACCTTTCGTGCACGCAGATGGGATGCGCCGCGGTCTCGTCTTCGTTGTCTCCACAAGAAGCGCTGAACGTATATGCAGATCTGAAAACGGCCATGAATGGCCTAGTGCTTGCCAGCGACTTGCACATGGTTTATTTGGTATAAGAGATGTCGAGCGTTTGACCAGTGGTGAGATAGCTATGTGAATCATCCCTGCTTTAGGTCACTCCCGTATACCTCGCTGACATGTGGACGCATAACTTTTCCTGGTCAAACTATTTCACCATCTGGTGTAAGCTGTGCGATACTCAACGAAGAATTGGTGAATTGGTGGGTGTCGATGAGGCAGTGTTAGTCAGTTGCACTCGTAGCGGTCGCATGCAGAACCGAAGCTCGTTGGCGA